ATTTCCATTGCCTTATCACTCTTTGCCCTTGTCCCAGGTCCCTCTGCAGCTCTCTTGGAGATCCTTTAGGCAACTGGAAGGGGCTCTCAGGGCTCCCCAGAGCCTTCTCGCACCTCACAGGAGCAGACTAACGGGTGTGGCACAGCAATTTCAAGGCAATTCAAGCAGGCAGGGCTGAACCAGCTCCCATTTCTCGTAGGTGAGTGTGCTTTTTAAAGCTAGCAATGGTTTCCAGGAAAACAAGAGCCATTACTGCTGTCAATACTAGGAGTGTGTCTGCTCAGACACTCCCCTCGAAGAAGGACGCAGCCACCCAGGTCTCTGGTTGTGCTGAGTGTCTGAGCCTGATGTTGGTACTGGAGGATGGTGTAGGAGGTAGCTGTGTACAATGCGAGCAGGTGAGTGACTTGCTGTGCCTGGTTGCAGAACTTAAGGAAGAGGTAGAGAGATTAAGGTGCATTAGAGAGAGTGAAAAGGAAATTGACTGGTGGAGTCAAACCCTTTTGAACCCTAAGGGAGTCAAACAGGAGATGGCGAAGCCCTGCCCCTCCTGCCATAAGGCAGATGGAGCAGACCAAATTGATGGGGGGGAATGGAAACAGGTCCCTAATGGGAGAGGTAAAAGAACTCTCTCTCGACCCCCATCACCCCCCAGGGTGCACTTGAAGAATAGATATGAGTCCCTGGACCCAGACAGTCAGGTAGAGGACAGCCAAGAAGATCTCTCTAGAAAGCCTCCTGGTTCAACCCTGTCTAATAGACAGATTACAACCTCAGGTATAAAAAAAAAAAGAAGGGTAGTTGTAGTCGGTGACTCCCTTCTGAGGGGAACTGAGGGCCCTATTTGTCGCCCAGACCCATCCCAGAGAGAAGTATGCTGCCTTCCTGGGGCCAGGGTGAGGGATATTAGTAAGAGACTTCCTGAGTTAATTCAGCCCTCAGACTATTATCCACTGGTGGTAGTCCAGGCTGGCAGTGAGGACATTAATCGAAGAAGTGCCAGGATAATTAAGAAAGACTTCAAAGCACTGGGTCGGTCAGTTCAGGGGACGGGAGCACAGGTGATATTTGCCTCAGTTCCTGTACTATCTGGGATGGATGAGGAGTTAAATAAAGAGTGGAGTAAAAAAGCCCAACTCCTCAACAGATGGCTAAAGGATTGGTACCACCGTCAAAATTTTGGTTTCTTTGACCATGGGGTAAACCTCATGGTACCTAGTTTCTTAAAATCAGATGGGATTCATCTTTCTAGGAAGAAAAAGAAGACTGTAGCCCATAAGTTAGCGAAGCTGATCAGGAGGGCTTTAAACTAGGTTTGAAGGGGGAAGGGGTTGAAACCGGGCTCTCCAGTGATCAGCCTAATGATGGAAAGCCTGAGTTAAGAATTAAATCAACAGCCCACCTGAAATGCATGTACACTAATGCACGCAGTATGGGCAACAAACAAGAGGAGCTGGAAGCCATTGTGCAGCAGGAAAGCTATGACGTAGTCGCCATCACAGAAACGTGGTGGGATGACTCGCATGACTGGAGTGTTGCCATGGATGGCTACACGCTCTTCAAAAAGAACAGGCAGGGTAAGAGAGGTGGAGGGGTGGCTTTATATGTTAGAGAGTCTCTTGACTCTGTTGAACTTGAGATCAGCAATGATAAGGTTGAGTGCCTGTGGACCAGAATCAGGGGGAAGACCAACAAGGCCGACATCATCATAGGTGTCTGTTACAGACCGCCCAACCAGGATGACGAAGGGGATGAAATATTCTACAAGCAGCTGGCGGATGTCTCGAAATCATCAGCCCTTGTCCTTGTGGGTGACTTTAACCTGCCAGATATCTGCTGGGAGCTCAATACTGCAGAGAAGAGGCAGTCTAGGAAATTCCTGGAGTGTATAGAGGACAATTTCCTCCATCAACTGGTAAATGAACCTACCAGGGGTAAGGCCCCGCTAGACCTGCTGTTTACAAACAGAGAGGGGCTGACGGGAGATGTAGTGGTTGGAGGCCGCCTGGGAAATAGTGACCATGAAATAATAGAATTTTCAATACTCAGAGATTCTAGGAGAAACAACAATAAAACCTCTACGCTGGATTTCCGGAGGGCAGATTTTGACCTATTCAGAAGTCTAGTCCAGAGCATACCCTGGGAAACAACCCTTAAAAACAAGGGGGTCCAGGGGGGATGGACGTGCTTCAAGCAAGAAGTTTTGAGTGCACAGGAACAGGCCGTACCAGTGTGCCGAAAGGCAAGCCGGCGGGGAAGACAACCAGCTTGGTTAAACTGGGAGATTCTGAAGGAAATCAGGGATAAAAAGAGAACTTACTGACTGTGGAAGAAAGGGCTGGCTACTTACGAAGAATTCAGGAAGACAGCTAGATCATGCAGAAAGAAAATCAGGGATACAAAAGTGCAATTTGAAGTTAAATTAGCCACTTCTGTTAGGGATAACAAAAAGTCCTTCTATAAATACATTAATAACAAAAGGAGGAGCCAAGAAAACCTTCATTCTTTGAGGGACTTGGAGGGAAACATAGTTAATAGAGATGAGGAGAAGGCTGAGGTACTTAACACTTACTTTGCCTCAGTTTTTACCAGTAGGACAGGTGGCCCTCAAGGCAACCGGCCTCTGGAGCTGGTAGACAGAGATAGGAAACCAAATAGCCCCCTTGTATTCCAGGAGGAAATTGTTAGTGACTTACTGAGTCATCTGGATCCTCACAAGTCTATGGGACCAGATGGGATCCATCCTAGGGTAATGAGGGAGCTGGCAGAAGAGCTTGCCAAGCCGCTCTCCATCATCTTCCAACAATCCTGGCTCACTGGGGAGGTCCCATATGACTGGAAGTTGGCAAATATCACCCCAATCCATAAAAAAGGCTGCAAGGCTGACCCTGGTAACTACAGGCCTGTCAGCCTGACCTCGGTGCCTGGCAGAGTTATGGAGCAGATCATCCTGTGTGAAATCACACAGCAGCTACAGGATGGACAAGGGATCAGACCCAACCAACATGGGTTTAGGAAGGGCAGATCCTGTTTGACCAACCTGATCTCCTTTTACGATCAGGTGACCCACCTGGTGGATGAGGGAAAGGCTGTGGATGTGGTCTATCTGGACTTCAGCAAAGCCTTTGACACTGTCTCCCATAGCATACTCCTGGAAAAGCTGGCAGCCCACGGCTTGGACAGGGGCACTCTGTGCTGGGTCAGGAACTGGCTCAAGGGCCGGGCCCAGAGAGTGCTGGTGAACGGAGCTGCATCCAATTGGCGACCGGTCACCAGTGGTGTTCCCCAGGGGTCAGTGCTGGGCCCAGTCCTTTTTAACATCTTTATCGATGATTTAGATGAGGGGATTGAGTCCATCATCAGCAAATTTGCTGATGACACCAAATTGGGAGGGAGTGTCGACCTGCCGGAAGGCAGGAGGGCTCTGCAGAGGGATCTGGATAGACTGGAGAGATGGGCTGACTCCAATGGAATGAAGTTCAACAAGGCCAAGTGCCGGGTCCTGCACTTTGGCCACAACAACCCCCTGCAGCGCTATAGGCTGGGCACAGAGTGTCTAGAGAGCAGCCAGGCGGAAAGGGACCTGGGGGTGCTGATCGACAGGAGGCTGAACATGAGCCAGCAGTGTGCTCAGGTGGCCAAGAAGGCCAATGGCATCCTGGCCTGCATCAAGAACAGTGTGGCCAGCAGGAGCAGGGAAGTGATCCTTCCCCTGTACTCTGCATTGGTGAGGCCACACCTGGAGTATTGTGTTCAGCTCTGGGCCCCTCAGTTCAGGAAGGATATTGAGGTGCTGGAGCGGGTCCAAAGAAGAGCAACGAGGCTGGTGAAGGGACTGGAGCACAAGTCCTATGAGGAGAGGCTGAGAGAGCTGGGGTTGTTCAGTCTGGAGAAGAGAAGGCTTAGAGGCGACCTCATCACTCTCTTCAACTCCCTGAAGGGAGGTTATAGCCAGGTGGGGGTTGGTCTCTTCTCCCAGGCAACCAACAATAGGACAAGGGGACATGGGCTCAAGCTCTGCCAGGGGAGGTTTAGGTTAGATGTTAGGAAGAAATTCTTTACAGAGAGAGTTATCAGGCATTGGAACGGCCTACCCAGAGAGGTGGTGGATTCACCATCCCTGGAGGTTTTTAAAAAGAGATTGGACGTGGCCCTTAGTGCCATGATATAGTAATTGGAGTTGGATCAGGGGTTGGACTTGATGATCTTGGAGGTCTTTTCCAACCCAATCTATTCTATGATTCTATGATTCTATGATTCTGTTCTCCAGGCTGAACACTCCCAGCTCTCCCAGCCTGGCTCCAGAGTAGAGGTGCTCCAGCTCTCTAATCAACTCAGTTGCCTCCTCTGGACTCATCCCAACAATCTGATATCCCTCCCGTGCTGGGAAGCCCAGAGTTGGATGCAGCACTCCAGGTGGGATCTCAGCAGAGAAGGGAAGAAGGGAAGAACCCCCTCCCTCACCTGCTGCCCACTCTGCTTTGGATGCAGCCCAGGACATGGGTCTTTGCATTTACAAATGTCACTGGAACTGCAGAACTTCTGAACTTTGCTGGAAGCCTTTGCAGGGCATTTGTGAGCACGTGGAGCACTGAGGGATGAGCTGTGTGCTGGTACCTCGTGGCTCCACAGCCAGGCTTGTCCCAGCTGCTCTCAGTGATTTATGGCAGGAGACTTGATAAGCCAACTGATAAATGATTCCTCCATTATCATAAACAGACGTGGCCCAGCATAGGTTATAACTACAGCTGAGAAAAAACAGCAAAACAAAAAAAAATAAAACAGCCAAACAAAACAAATGCAAAACCAACAAAACAAAACAAACAAAAAACCACAAAAAGACAACCAACCAACCACAACAAAAACAACCACCCAAAAAAACAACACAAGCAAAAAAAAAACCAAAACCAAAATCCAAAAACCCAAACAAACACTTCAAAACAACAACAACAACAACAACAACAAAACAAACAAAAAAACCAAACATAAAGGTCACAAGGTTGAGTTTAGGTGAATGGTTTATTTAATCTTAATTTTTTTTCTTATCTTACTCAGGATTAATCCCACCTTCCACTGAAGGGCTTCCAAGGTAGCTTCAATAAGCTCTACATTTTGGGATAAATATGTTTTACATATGTTTAAGTCAAGTGATCTACACAACCACAGGATCAGCATTTGATTTCAGGATGTTTGGGTGAAATAAAATTGTTGGAAAACCACAGATTTTCATTCATGTGAGAATCAAAGGAACACATCCTGAAAGGGGCTGAGCACTCACCAACTCCATTGATTTCTGTGGGAGCCTGGTAGCAGTTGGTTTTCCAAGAACTAGGCTTGGGAGATGATTTGAAATGTTTCAATCTGAACAATGAGGTTGTAAAACACTAATGTGTGAAATTTTGCAGTTTTGGTTTGGAATTTTTTTGCTTATGTCTTCTGACATCAGTGAAGAGCTGACTTGGGTCCTTGTATGCAAATAAATCAAGTGAAGTTCAGTCCCTAGGTGCTGGGAACATGGGGGCAAGAAGATGACTGTGGTGGGCTGACCCTGGCTGGGTGGCAGGTGCCCATCAAAGGCACTTTTTCACTCCCCTCAGCTGGACAGGGGAGAGAAAATATAAGGAAATGCTCATGTGTTGGGATAAACGCAGGGAGAGATCCCTCACCAGTCACTGTCACGGGCAAAACACACTCAACTTGGGGAAATTATTTTATTACCAATTAAATTGGAGTAGGGTAATGAGAAATAAATACAAATCTTCTTAAAAAATCTTCCCCTTCACCTTCAGTCCTTATTTTCTCTTCTCCACCGTGGGCATCCATTGGCTGCAGGGGCATAGCTGCCTCACCACAGTCTGCAGGGGAATTCCTGCTCCAACACCTGGAGCACCTCCTGCCCCTCCTTCTTCACTCACCTGGGTGTTTTCAGGGCTGTTTCTCTCCCATCTTCTCACTCCTCTCTTAGTTTGGAGTTATACACGTCTCTTTTTTTCCCCTCACCTTAAATCTTAAATCCCAGAGGTGCTGGCACAGATGCTGGTGGGCTTGGCCATGCCCAGTGGCAATTCCATCATGGAGCTGGTTGGCATTGACTCTGTTGAACATGGGAGAAGCTCCTAGAAGCCTCTCATAGGATCCCACCCCCCCACTACAAAGCTTGCCAGGCAAACCCAACTCAACCACCCACAGATCTGGTCATTTACTGTCTGGGATTATTTATAAATTCCCATTGGAGGTGCCACCATTTAGTGGGCTCATTGGCTGTGTGGAATTTTAAATGTGGAAGGAGGGAGGGTTCCTAATGAAGATTTTTTTCTTTTTTTTTTCTCCATTACAAAGTGTTTTTGTTTAACTTCGGGTGTAAGAGTCATTTCTTCTGCTGCAAGAGGGGAGAAGATGTGAGTTTGCCCCAGCTCTGGCCAGAAGCATCAGCTGATCTGATGCAGTACCAGTACTTCAGTTATTAAAAAGCTTCAATTAATAAAAAGCTTTGATTGATAAAGTCCCTTCACTGTGTTGCTCTGATAAACCAAATACCCAGCAGGAAGAGAAAGAAACTTGCTATCAGTTACATATTCCTTCCATAGGGTTCTTATCTTTGTCTTCGGGCAGAAGTATTAGTTCATTGATATTAGACATCAGTGTGTGGAAGTGTTTTTCTATAAGAAGGAGAAAAGAAGAAAAAAAAAATCCCAAACATTACTGCTGAAATATTATTTTTAATTTTTAAAGCTAACCTAGTGATACTAAAGCAATAGAAAAGGGAGAATATGTACTGAAATCAAAATGTTTTGACTGGCCTGAACTGAACTCCCATTCAAGTACCCAGCTGCTGCTTTGTGAAAGTGATCCCGGAATTTTGAGCTCATTTCAGGCTTTTGTGACAGTCACTTGAGGTATCTTCAGCTTCTTCTTCCAGTATGGAAAATTGTTTTCTTGTTCAACTCTCCAGGTATCATCCCTGTGAAAGGGGATAGACAATCCTATACAACACAGAGGGATTTTGCATTTCAAGCTCTGTCTGCCAGTGCTCAGGCAAGGAGGCTTTTCTTGCTTCCTCCATTGATTTAGGATTCGCATTCTGAGCGCGTTGTAACTACAAGGAAATGAAATTCTCTCGCTTTCTTCTAAAATAAGAAGATTTACTCGGGGAAACAACTCTGGAAATACCACGTACTGCCATCTATGGCTCTGCTCGGGAAGCACATTGGCCGGGAGAGCCCTGCAAATGAAGCTGCTTTACAGTGACAGAGAAACCTTTTGTTCTGACAGAGGCTTTAAACAAGTGGCTCCAAACTTCCAACAGCTGTTGTGGGAAGATGAAGTTCCCGGGGGAGGGGAATCCCGGTCCATCCCACTCCTATTGGTTTGGTGCCAGGGTCGGCAAGAGATGCTCAGAGCATGGAGAGGGGTTGCAGGTCGGCAGGAAAGCACCTGAAGAGCAGCACAAAGGAATTCCAGCCATTCCAGATGGGAAATTGGCTTCCTCAGTGATCCAATTTAAATGCCTCTAACTCTAAAACCTGCAGGATGGGGAATAAACAAGAGGAGTTAGAGATGTGCACAAGCCTGCAGGGCTGTGATCTTACTGGCATCGTGGTGATGTGGTGGGATGGTTCTTGTGACTGGATTGGGATGATCCTATGACTGGAGTGTTGGAATGGAAGGATACAGGCTCTTTAGGAAGGACAAGCATAGGAGATGATGAGGGGGTGTCACCCTGGATGTCAGTGACCAGCTGGAGCACAGGGAGCTCCTTTTGGGATGGAGGCAGAGCTGAAGGAGAGCTTATGTGTCAGGATTAAGGGAGGGCAGGGACAGGTGACAGTAGAGTGGGGGTCTGCTGCAGGCCACCCAGCCAGGAGGATCTATGGGGCTTTGAAAAACCTGGCCTAGTGGAAGGTGTCCCTGCCCATGAGATGGGGTTGGAACGAGATGATCTTGAAGGTCCCTTCCAACCCAAACCATTCTGTGACTGTGTGAAATGATGCTGTAATTATCATCACCGTTGCTATTTTTACAAGTTGTTCAGCACTTTCTCTCCTGCAAATAAAGTTTCTGAACAAGGATGAGGAAGAGGTGAGCAGTGTTAGAGAAATTCCCTTTATGTGGCCACTTGTTTTTGTCTTCACTGGCAATGGTGTCACTCTAGGCCAAAAGTTCACTTTGCTTTTACCTTCGCACTCTCGGTCCTCAACCTCTGGTTCCTGGATCTTCACCAGCTTTTGGCCTTGCCACAGGAGGAGGAATTCCTCTCCCTCCATAGCCTGGCCAGAAGTGATGTGTAAAGCTCCTGTGATCCCCACAGGAGTGTGTGTGTCAGGGAATGGACACGTGGAAGAGATGGGGGGAAGAGGTAAAGGAAGTTGGAGCCACAGTGGCTGTAGGTGGTCATTGGGGAATGGGAAGGCAGCAGAAGGATGTCATGAACATCTCCTCCCCATCACTTCTGTTCCTAGTCAGGGAGTGAGGAAATAGAAAAACTCAGGATCTGTTCAAAGCTCTGGAAAAAGAGAAGAACTGTGAACATTTAGGCTCGGGGCTCCATCACTCCTTCCTGCTGCCAGAACCAGCACCACAAATGCTTTCAGGGTTGGGTTCTATCCTCTCCCCTTGATGATCCCAGAGCTTTGGAACTCTGGTGAGTGGCTTCTTCACCAACATTGCAGTCACTCATCCAAGCTCCATCCACTGTCACTGGCCATGACTGTGTGTGCTGGTGCTTGTTCCCCTCATTAGGACTCTTCTTTTGGGCTCCATGAAGTTGTCCCCTGACCCTGGTGTGCAAAGCAGGCTGGTTAAGGGAGGGGGCTGGAGTTAGAGTTTTCCGTGCTGTCACTTGGGAAGCTGGAACTGCTGCCCTGCCTCACTTTACAAGTCTAGAAAATGGGCTTAATGCTAAATTCCCATTTTAGGAGAAGCCTCTTTGCAAGTTGTCCAAGAATGGAGGACTTTGAGACAGGACACTCCTTGAACACAGAAAATTCCTTCACTTAATAGATACAACCCATGTGAGGAGGAACAGGACTTTCCTCCCTTGCCCTTAGGAGAGGCTGTGATTGCTGGGTTAGACATGTGATGATGTGAACATTAACACTCCTGAGCAGCTCCTACCAGCAGAAACCACAGCTGGTAACAGGAGTGAAAAGTCATTAGAAATATGTATAAAAAATTGATGACAACAACAACAACAACAACAAAAGTGAGGTGGAAATGACAAACCAGCAGCCATGTGAGAGGGGGGAATGGGAAAATCCTCTTCAAGTCCTGTGTAAAGCTGACTTATTCCATGTTACCCTTCAGCAGACGGATGTGACTGGCTGGAAATTTGAAATGTTTAAGCAGATCTTTAACCAGACACAATGCAAGGTGCTATAGATGTAAACACAGTGGTATCTGTTGCTGGAGGGGAAGTAAACTGATTACTTACAAGCTGTCCTCCTTTGCAGTTATCCTCTTCAAACACATCCTCTGGGAATCCCAGGCATTCCCTTTTTTTTTTTTCCTTGCCATCCTCATTTAAATCTCCAATGACTGGGGTTGCCCTTGGAAGGACGGGGGCTCCTCCAACAAACTGAACTCAGTTTCTCTGCATTGGAATTCTGCTTCCAGTAGATTTTAGGGACAGATATATTATTCCAGTGGCACCACAATGCTACCTTTCCAAAGTGGGAAGTGGGAGGACAGAGTTATCAAACCTAAACCAGCTCTGAACAGTTCCCAGCCCAAACAGACTATTTCCATCGGTGTGAGGTGCTTCAAAAGAAGGTGGAAAAATTGGGCAGATAGAAAATGTTTTTCTCTATCTTTCATGTCTCCCTCATGTACTTTGTAGTCTGAGACCCACTTAGGCCCCTGAAGCAGCTTAATCCTTCTCCCAAAACCTCTTTGCAGATTCCCAGGGGTGCTGCATTTATCCACGGAAATTCCCACCCCATTTTTTTCTCTTGACCAGTGTTGCCTCTGACAACAAGAGGCATTTTCTGTGCAATAAGTGTGTTCTAAATTCAAAGTGTTTGTAAGGGTAGAGAGTTTGTTTATCTCTATTGAGTTTGCTGGGGGGGGGGGGGGTGACAGAGGGAAGTGGAAAATTACAGCTGGATCCAACTCAAGCTTTTCAATCTCCAAAACCCAGACAGAAAACAGACCATGGACAAAGGCCACAGAGCAGAGAAGAGAATGATAGCTGTCTCTTGGTTGTGTTTTTGGACAGCAAAGCCAGTGTTTGTCATAAAACCCACCCAGCACTTTCCCAAACACTGTCATGGGTGGGTTGGCCTTACAGCACCATCAAGATGGTCTGGGGATGGTGTGTCCCAGAAACTGTTGGGCCTTCTAATCCGTGCTTTTGCTATTCCTATCTGCTTCTCCTTCCTCTGGGAATGACACTGGAAAGTCCCCGTGATGCTCTGAGTTACTTCAGAAGTCATCACACCGTGTTGTGATGGGACAGAGATTGCCAGTTTGGGATGAACTGAGGCCTTTTCATAATTTCTGCACAGTTTCAAGCAAAACAGGGCAGGGATCTCTGTTCTAAGTCTTTCTGTGTCATAAATAAATCATACAGCCCTAGGGCTGGGCAGGGTGGTCCCAGTAAGGCCCCCCCATGGGGAGCAGGGGGGACAGTCACAAAAAAAAGGTGTCCTTATATGTGTTGTTTTAAGAGTATGGACTGTTCTACCTGTGGATTACATACTTTAACTGTGTTGGCAGGATGGAAGGAAGGGTATATGTCTCCCCAAAGGCAGATTTCTAGGAGACCTGATGTTTTGCGAGCATCTCTTGCTCTAGGAACAGATTTCTTTGCTCTCCAGATATCATACAGGAGTGAATTTCACAGATCCCTGTGCATTGTGGTGAAGTTATTTCCTCTTCATCTCTTCACAGATGTACAAACCCAGAGAGAACAGGTGAGTTATTGCATTTGATTACCTCAACCCATTGCAGACCCCAAATCCTGTCCTCACATGTCCTGTTCAGTGTTGCAACTCACCGTCAGTTCTCCCCGGAGGGCACACAGTGAGAAATGAGGAGCTCAGGCCTGTCTTCTCTTCATTTTTAAGGTTTGGGTCATGTCTACCCTTTTGTTAAATGACAGTCTGGGGATTCACAAACTTCTCTACTTAAGGCTGGAAAGAAGTGGGCTGCAGGGACGTTTTTCAGCATCTGTGGACAACACTCTCAGGCACGTGGTGCGATTCCTGAGATTGTCCTGTGCAGGGCCAGGAGTTGCACTTGATGATCCCTGTGGGTCCCTTCCAGCTCAGGATATTCTATCATTTTATGATCCATTGCATTGAGTACAGCTCCCCATTCCCACAAAGATGTGTTTTCCATCACTCCCCATTGCAGCAATGGGGACTGAAAATGGGTTTTAGTTTTTTCAGGGGCACTTTCTGGCACTTCTTCCTCATGCTGAGCTTCTTTGCCCTGCAACACAGGAGAGATTCCCAGCTACACCTTGCTCTGTCTGGCCTCCCCCAACCCCAAGACAGGGAAGGTGAGTGCCCCTCACTCCCCCCACCACCTCAGAAGCAAGGCAGAGCTGCCCCACCGGGCTCACAGGGGCAGGACACGCTTCTTAGGCTCCTTTACCCAAGCACCCCGTGTTTCCCTCCAAAGCTTTCCCCTCTCCTGTTTGCACCTGCCAGGGCTGGAGAGAGAGAGAGAGAGAGAAGCTGGAGAAATAGAGAAAAAATCCCTGGGGGCCTCGGAGGCGCAGGGAACCTTCTTGCAGGAAAACAAACTCCCGAAAGGCTGGAGAGAGAAAGGGAGAGATTTCCATTCGGAGCATGCACGGCGCTAATCCAGCATAGCCGCCTGTCGGCTAAAAACACGCATTTCAGGACCCAGCTGCCCCTTTGCTCCAGTCCCTGCTTAACTGGAGATGTCACAGATGCCTTTGGCCGGCGATGCTGCAGTGCCGGCTGGGGATGAGGAGAGGCTGGTTCGCCGCGCTCCACCACAGCCAGGGCTTGCTGCTCAGCTCCCCTGAAGGAAGGATTTTCTCTCTTTTCTCCTTCCCCGCGAAGTTTTTTAGGGATACGAGAGGTTTGAAGGTGTGGAAACGGGGGTAAAAGGGCTGGATGAGGTGAAGGGAAGGGAGGAAAGGGAAAGAAGGCCGAGGGAAGGGGGTTGAGGTGCCCTGGAGAGTTCCTGTGGGGAGAAATGGGGTGCTCTTCACCCTCCCTAAGACAGAGGGATAAAGGTTGATGGCAGATGGCATCTTCACCTCTGCCCCTCGGGAAGGTCTGTGCCCCTCCTCTGTTGGGAGGCAGCAGCCTTGGGCAGGGAGGGAGGTGGTTTTGTCAGGGAAAGGGGTTGGTTTCCCCATTTTCAGTAGGAAAGATTAAAGACAAGGAGCAGGTCCTGAAGTCTGACAAGATTCTGAAGACCCCCAGCTCTTCTCCCCTTTTCGAGCCTTATCTCTCTCCCCTCTACTCCCTTCTCAGACCCCCTCCTCTGCTCAGGAGGCTCCTCATTCCCGGGGAACCTTCCCCGGGCTGTAAAGCCGGGGGCAGCAGCTTTAGCCCAAAGCTGTTGGGATGCAGCCTGAGCCTTTCACCCCAGCCCATCTCCTGCTCCTCCATCTGCTCAAACTTTCCCTCCCCCCCCCCCCCCTCTTCCCCTGGGGCGCTAGGTGGGTGTGATATCCCCCTCACCCCATTCTCCCAATATTTTTGGGTTAATGGAGCAAGGAGTTGGGGAGGATGCCAGGAAAGAGGTAAAAATCAAACAATTATGAAAGGGTTAATAGCTGTTGCCGTCTCCTGCCCTGGTGCAAAGCCACGGCCAAAACAGGGTGCTGGGGGAGGCCCCACCATCACCGACCTCCCCCGCATCGCCCCTCCGCCTGCCGGGCTGAGGGGTTGGGGGACCCACTGCCCCGGTGGTCCCCACCGCCCTGTCCCGTGTCCCATCCCTCTCGGCAGGCTGTGAGCTCCGAGGAGGCTCCGGGGGGGGGCGGTGGGAGAACCCCCGAGCCCCCCTGTCCCCGGCGGTACCGCGGCAGCGCCGAGCCGCGTCTCTGCGCATCCCTCTGCGGGCGAGCGGCACCTCTCCGCGCCGAACCTCCGCAGGTTTTTTGGGGAGCGGGGAGGGGAGCAGAGCCCTCACCATCCTCACCACCACCTTCCCGGCTCCCTCTTCACCTCCTGGCTCCCCGCTTAGGGCTAAGCTGTCCCGGGGAGGCTGCGCTGCCTGGGCTCCAGCGCGCTCCGGCTGTCGCTGGGCTCCTCTGCTCCATCCATCCATCCATCCATCCATCCATCCATCCATCCATCCTGTAGGCTAGCGGAGCATGCCCGATGCGATACTGTGTCAGTTCGGGTCCTTGCCTATAGCTGCCTGTTTTACAAAGCTCCGATCCGTGCGTGTGCGTGTGTATGTGTGTGTGCATTTCATCCCTCCCTCCTATCCCTCCCTCCCTCCCTCTCTCTCTCTCTCGCTCTCTCGCTCTCTCACTCTAATGTGTGATCTGGAAAGCTTATAAAAGCCTGATGTAATCCTTAATGCAGCCCCTGGCTACAAAGACTGGATCTAGTTTCACAGAGAGAGATTCAGAAGCAGAATTTAAAAAAAGAAAAAGAAAAAAAAAAAAAAAAGAAAAGTGGGGGGAGAAGAGAGAGAAAGAAGGAAAAGCAGACGAGTGGATTTTAAACAAACATATCTTTCTGAAGAAGACCATTCTCGCTCCTCGCTGCTGGGAAAGCTACTCTGAACCCTGCTGTATATTTTTATTTTTTTTTCCAAAGGAGAAGACTTGATTGTCTGCTTGGATCTAATGATTTACTGGCTTTTAACTGCGTTTTCCCTCTCTCCTAAGGATTCCTCAAAAAACGGCTTAATTATTTTCGGCTTTTCTCTTCTACCTGCCTGTCTGCAGAGACACCAAAGGTTCTCCCTTCCTTTCCCTCCCCACCCCCATTTCTTTTAGGATTTTTTCCCCTTTTCCCTTTAATAGATACATATATATATATATATATAAATGTGTATGTATATATATATGTAGAGGCGAGAGTGGAGGAAGCGGAGGGAGGGAGAGCTCTGCCATCCTTTGGACTTCACGCGCTGCCCAATGTTGGGCTGGTTACCCCTGGATATGTTGCTGGTTTCCATTTGGAATTTGACAAAGGGAAGAAGGAGGATATAAAACCTGGGGAGCTCGGCAAGGTAAGGGGCTCCCGGCCACCCTTCCTTCTTCAGCGGAGGGTAGGGAGAAAAGGGAACGCGACTTCTCCGGGCTGCGCTTTGCCTGGAGCGCAGGGGGGGGGGGGTCTGCCTCCATCCCCAGGGGAGGCAGGGATGGGGGCAGCGCTGGGGACCCCCTCCTCTGCTTTTGCCCCTGGAAACAGCACCCGAAGGGTGCTTTCGTCCCCTCAGCTCTGCGATTTGGGTGGATAGAGCATAATCATTCCCTGACATGGGAAGTTTTAACTTTTGTGCATGCGGGTCCTGTGGGCAAACATCAAGCGGTAGAGGAAAATATTGATGTCTGCAGGATGCGGAGGGGGAAATGCAGTCGTGTCCTGGGAAAAGGGGCTGGGGATTGGGTTGTGTTTTTTTGGGGGGAAGGCAGCCAGGAGAGGGAAGAGGAGCGGGGGATCGCGGCAGGAGAGCTGCAGAGCCAGCCGGGGCTGAACTGCAAAGTGCTGTGAAGCCGCGGTGCCTTCGCGGGCAGCCCTGGGGTCCGGGACTCCTCAGCCTGCAATGTTGGCAAACAAAGTCTCGGAAGGACAGGCAGCTGCCTGCCCCGGGAGTGAATGTGCCCGCATCACAGCTCCTCGCCTTCCCCTTTTTCCTTGGAGAGGTGGGGGGAGGTGGAGGGTCTTTTTTGCTTCGCCGCTTGTGTGGCTCCTACCCGGGGCTGGAGGCAACGGCTGGGGAGGGGTGAGCTCCTGATGTGCCCCCCCCAAATGCCGTTTATCAGCACTTTGCTTCAAACAGGAGGAGAAAATGAGCCTTTAGCCTGTGTAGGGTTCGGAGTAGGGCACAGACACACAGACACACACACGCTGCTCCCGGAGCTGTGTTCCTGGGGGATGCTGGCACCCAGGCACGGCTTAGCCTTTCTTTGAGGATGGGGAGGAGGGTGGCGAGAGAAGGAGTCTCCATCAGGGATGCGTAATTACAAAGCATCTTGTTCTGAATCACCCTGTGTGGGAATGAATCGCAAAATTTGTCTCTCCCTCTTCCCCCACCGCCCCCTTCCCTTTCACGGCCTGACATTCGCTGATGGAGGGTGGCTGTTGATGCATCTTCAGACTTTCACAGAGAGATGTTTCAGCCATGGCTTTGCCAAGGCTGGAAGGAAAAAGGGAAAAGTGGGATGGAGGGGATCAGGTGGATGTTTCAAAGGGACTTTTCAGCCTGGTTGTGCCCCCGGTCCTGGCTGAGAGCAGCAGCGCTCCCTGAATCGAAGGCTCGGGTTTCAGATCAACTCCGCCAGGTACCTTCGGTTGTGACTCACACTCAGGTCCCCGACCCTGCCCTGGCCACGGGAACAACCCCTGTGAATCCGTTGAACAGACAGGAGGTGGTAGGGAAGGGAGCATCAAGGCAAGGTCAAAGGGATGGAGGGCAAAAAGACACCCCCCCCCCTTCCATCCCTGACCACTCCATCCCTTCGGAGCTGGGGCTTTCCAAGGCTCAGGCTCAACCCACCTCCAGCACCGGGTCTGGCGAGTGCCAGGGCCAGCTGACAGCTGATGGCTGAGGGAGGAGGAAGAGAAGGAGGGGAAGGAGGGGGCTGAGGAAGAGCGGAGCTACTTTGACAGATGCCCAAACCTGCCTGTGCGGCAGAGCGAGAATCGCAGCGTCTCCAAAGCCTCCCTGGGAGGGAGCCAGGGGTGCTCGGGGCGCAGGGGACACCTCCCTAGCCCCGTTACCTGTTGATTAGCGAGAGGTTTGCTCTCACCTGACCGTGCAAAGCCTGAGGGAAGCCGGGAGGGATGAGCCCCCGGCACTCGGCGGAGTTGCCTGATGACCTCCGCGGCGGAGCGGGGAGGGCTGTGTGTTAATGGTGATGACTCTGCTTTGGCTGGTGCTGAAATATCTGTATTATCTATTATCAGCTGGGAGACGAGGCTGGAGGCTTCGCAGAGCTGGGATCTCATCCAAAGTCCGCGCTGCTAAAGGAAACAAACAACTCCCCATGCATATTAAGTGGGTCCCTAATTAATTAATGACTCATTAACCTGGGTCCCACAGTCCTTGCTGTGCGGGAGACCTCTCTGAGGAAGAGGAAGGAGGTCTCAGGGAAGAGCCAGGGAGGTTTTTACCCTGGGAGGGTGCTGAGGAATTGCACCAGCTCTCAGCCAAGCCGCACTGCCAGGGGACAGGGTGGGCACGGCGCTGAGCCAGGCAGGACACAGGCAGAGGGCTGAGCAGGCAGGACACCCTGTCTGAGGGGGCTCAGAGGGGCATGGGGAACAGGGGGGTGCTGAGGCGGGGGGAACAGGGGACCTCCATGCTCTGCTCTGTGTGATCTAGAGGGGTCAGGGTGCAGCATCGCTTCTGCTGTGGAGGGAGAAGGGGAAGGCCAGGAAGAAACTGGATGGGGTAAAGGCGCAGGCAGGGAGGAGCAGGACCCCTGGCCCTTCCCATAGCACTTGGGATGGTGTTGCAGAGCCCTGGGTGCAGGGATAGGGGCTTGGAACCCCCCGTAACTGACCACTAAAGGTGAAGAGGCTCAGGGAAGGACTGGCTGCAAAGTGCAGGGGTTTTCTAATTATGAGTTTTCTCTACCTCTCTTCTCCTTACACGGGGGTAACTGAGGCAGGTCCGTGTGCCAGACCCCATACCCGGGCTGGGAAATGTGTGTGTGGGGAGATACACCTGATCTCCAATCAGACCTCAAGGAGCAGCCACAGGCACCCTCCACGGTGGGGGGGAGCACCCCCCATCCCACTGCTTTGGCACCCCAGGGAGACCTGCATCACCCTCTGCCCCACAGGCCCTCAGAGGTGGTCTGGGACAGTCACACAGCCCTTCTCTCCCTTACATCACCCCACAGGCTCCTTTTCCAGCCACTCTAAACTCAGTGACACCCCCTCCCAACACACACACGCACACACACAGACGCACACTCTCCATCCTTCCCACAGCATCGGGACCGTTCCCGTTGGAACCGCGGGGGCGGGAGAGGCTGGGAAAGGATGGGGGGGGCATCTCAACCTGGTGTCAGGGTCCCCTCCACACCTCCCCTCTGCCCATCCCCGGTACCGGGGGGGCTGTCGGGGGCGGTCGAGGCTTGCGGCGAGCGGCGGGGAGGTGGCGCTCGCAGCCCGGCTATCGCCGCTCGCCGCCCCCGGAGCTCTCGGATGCTCGGCACAGCCCGTGGAGCGCTGCTCCCCCTTATCCTCCCCCCGCAAAAAAAGCAACAACACCCCACCTGCACGGCTGGGGCTCGCAAGAAGCGCTGCCTCGCACCCTGCACCCGAAACACGCCGCCCACGGAGGTTTATGTCTCACTCTCCAGTATCACCTTCCCATGGACTTTTTGCCCCCCCCCCGTGGTTTTTTTTTACCACACTCCCCCACATGTTTCATCCTCCCCCTTCTCCCCAATTTCAGCATCGTTGTGAAAATAGAGGCTCGTTGAGCTTCCACGGGCTCTCCATGGGAGTGCAAGTGGGGTGAGCAGCTCTGTTACTCCCGTTCCAAGGATTGAGGGGCAGCCCCCAGCTCCAAGGGCTTGCTGGGGGTCTTCACACCATCCCTTGCTTCCTACAAGCGGGGGAAAGGGATGCCCGAGCACTCTGGTCCTGCGAGTCCACCCATAGTGAGATCGTGCCCCATCATCTCTCCTGGGAAGGGGAGATGATGGAAGGGATTCCCGCAGTGCCTGTGCAGCTACAGATGGCTTCTCTTTGCCCCTTTTTAGAGGGAGGGAGAGGGGAAAGCAGCGTGTTCGTAGATCCAGATTCACCTTCTCCCGTAGCTCGAGTGCAGCACGCAGGAAATCCCCTGTCATCGATACCTGTTGCCGGGGATCAGCTCGGCTCATTAATTAGCTCCAGGAAACCTGCGCTGGTAAACAAATGAGTCAAAGCTTTTCTCCGGAGCTGATCCCGGGCTCGCAGAGCACCGGTTGCCACCTTTCTAGGAGGGGTGCAAAGAGAGAGGAGTATTTTCTTCAAGATGGATGACAGGCTGTCTCTGGAACCAGCTTGCCTCCTCCCCTTGGAGAAAATTCCCATCCCCGAGCGAACCTTCCAAGGGAAGGGAGTTGGCACCCGGCCTGGGGGTTTGCAGAGAAGTCTTGGTGTCACAGCACATGTCAGAATGGCTCCATGTGGCTGCAGAGAAAGTCCCCATCACATCCCAGTGTTCACCCTTCACAGGATGCTCCCGTGTCCTTCTCATGGTTTCTTCCCCAAGTTCCTTGGGCTCTCTGCTTGTCTGAGGTTTGCAAAAGATGCTGAGATTAAAGAGGGCAGGAGGGTGGTGCTTGTGCTCGGGTGAAACCTGGGCAAGAGTTAAATTGTTGATGGGGGTTGCTGTCCATCCATATATTTGGGTGGCGTAGGGATTTGGGGTCTGAAGCACTGGAAGAAAGGAGCTGGGGCATAGTTTTCTCAGCCAAGGTGGGGATAGGAGGGATGTCTTCCAGGGAAAACAGCGTTTCACTGTTCCATCTGCGCTGGAGAGGCAGGGGCTCCTTTTGATTTGAGACGCACTCCTTTCCTTTAGATTAAATATTAGGAAGAAATTCATCCCTGTGAGAGGGGTGAGGCACTGGAATGGGTTACTCAGAGAAGCTGTGGCTGCCCTATCCCTGGAAGTGTTCAAGACCAGGTTGGACAGGGCTTGGACCAACCTGGGCTAGTGGAAGGTGTCCTTGTCCATGGCAGGGAGTGGAATGAGATAAGCTTTAAGTTTCCTTCCAACCCAAACCATTCTGTAACTGTATGATTTATGTATGACCCCCTAAGATCCCAAATCCACAGTGGACAAGCCCTCTAAGTCCCAAATCACTACAACAGGGAGCAGTGCCAACGCTCATTTCTCCAAGTCAGGGCCATCACAGACATTATCCTGGTCTTCAGCATCCTCCAACATCCCAGTGTTGGAGGTTCCATCTGCCTTGTAACCCTTCTCAATGCTCCTTCTGCCCAAAAGGTAATTCTTCCAAAGCCCCACACCATCCCTGACCCAATATTGGTTGCATT